GCACGCACACGCACACACACGCCAGAGCCATATTTGCATATGTCTGTGATGCTGCCTTGTGTCGAGGTGCGTGGGTCGTGCTGGATGTTGTTGGTATCTCTGTGAAATCTTTCCTCCTGGCCTCAAGCAGCTGAAGTTAATGAATGAGCCAAGCGGTAGCTGGACCGCTCTCTGCACAATGTGCAGTTATTCCAGACCAGCCAAAACGCCTCTCTCAGCATGTCATCTGATCAGCAGCCTAATCACTGTTTGGGCTCTACTTGGTACCACGGGACAGTAATCAGTATTCTCATCGAGGACAAACACACATATTCACACACACACTTCACCATGGGGTTACTGCAACGATCAGTCATCTTTGCCCTGCTGGTGTCAAAAACAAGAGTTTTTGCGGTCCTGATGAGTAGACGCACACACATATACACCCCTCTGGGCCCTGTGGTGGTGCTCAGTTTACTGTGGTCCTGCTTCACTGCTGCAGTGAGAGCAGTGAGTTACTTTTTATAAATGTTTTCAGACTTCTTTAAGTTGTTCCTCACCATTCCCTGTATTTGCAGATGGTAAAAAAATAGAGAATTGAGTTTTCAAAAGGTTTTTTGTGTCTCTGGGGGGGGTCTAGCAGAATAGTGAACCCTCAGCAAGGCCTCCATCTGTGGTCCCACGCTGAGCAGCTGAGTGGTGGATGGTCAGTGTTGCGTTGCATGCCTGGTGAGGGCAATCTTTATTTTAAAACAGAAACATTACTCCATTGCTGACAACAGACTGGTTTGCACCTCATCGCTAATTAATGTCAGTTATGCTCCACTATTGACAATCCACAGCAGTGGAAAGCAACTGTCATTGTTGGTGTTAATCTAAACATTTCCCTTCCACATCCCCACTTTATACTTGCAACGGTCTGACTTGTTTGGACCGTCTGACTGGAAGCCCAATTAGACGACTGCGGAGATGTGATTGGCAGTCACGTTTCTCCGACTGACAGCCAGCACATTAAATCGAGATCACTTGATTGGCGGCTGTGTTTGTCAGATCGATGCTGGGATTACAGTTAGTCCCACTGCCGGTCCTCTCCCGGAAAGAATATTTTAAATTTTGCATTGTGTTTGTTGGAGTAAGACTCTGGCAGTAAAGTTCAGACAGCTGTCAGTTATTGTATAGCTGACTGAAAACAATTTGAACTTCATGTGATTGTGTAAAATGTTTGACACTGGCTGCCTGTACTGTGTCAAACCTCACCTGTGTAAAACAAACACACCATAAAAAGCTAAAAAAAAAAATACAAGAGAAATCGGACCAGACCTATGAAACATAAATCACTATATTCCCCAAGTCTCATGCTGTGTTACCGGGCCCTCTCATGAGGCATGTGGTGGAAATTATTGCAACATCTGTACTGTTGAGTAATACCAAAGAAATGCTATGAAGGGTAGACAGGTATCCACACAGTGCTTGGGTTTAGCTCAGTGCTACAGATCCTGAAAGCATCTGTTTGCAGTGACAGAATATACAAATAAATGCACACACGTATACACCTGCTCTCCTCTGAGATATCGTTTACTACATAACTATCTGTGAATGAATTCGTAAAGGAGAGTTTGTGAAAGCTTTGAATCTCTGCTGTTGTGATTCACGTCAGTGAGGGTCAGAGATTGTGTGCGTATCATAAATCTGATATTATAACATTTGTACACAGACAGGGGATCTGTGAGCTGGATGCTGAAAGATATCCTGTGCCTTCACAAACTGAAGGGTTAATAAATGTGTGTGGGTTTCAGGAGACCGTACTGTATTTCCTGTGGACACATTAATATACGGTACTACAGTGTCACAAATCGCATGACTCCAGGCACCAGTTATTAAATGTGAGGATGCAGTCAGCAGAGAGACAGAGCCTTATTTGTGGTGCGATAGAGGCATCCTTTGTTTATGTGTGTGCACATAACTAAAACTTTAATCAGAAAAAATCAGTTTTTGCCCCTTGGCACTCTTTCTTGCTTGATTTCCGATGTGTCTTCTTCACCCCCATTCGCTCTGTTGAAGTGTGAGGAGATCTGACAGCATGTCTCATGCCTTAAAAGGCTCGACTGCGGCTCGGCAGAAAACGTGACGAGCTCTGTAATTCGAAACAAATGCAGCGCATATGGACACTCCTACTTTGTTGGGCTAACAGTATACAGTAGCAGCAGAAAAAAAAGAGGGTTTCCCCAAGCTCTGCTCCTCTGTTAGTCTTCCTCCCCTCCTCCCTCACTTACTCACTCAAGTATGACACAAGTGGAGAATTCATACTGAACCACATTGGTTGTTATTCAGGCTGCAGTTGGCTGCCGTCTCTGTGTCTCCCACTGTGGTGTTTTCCTTCAAGTGGTGGTTTTTGTTCCTGGATACTGGAGTATTTTAGATGTGATAGGCTATGTGTGTTTTTATGCGTCATCCCATTGTAGAATATTTCCATGACTGGAAAGCTGCAGTTGCATCTGTTAATCTGCGCTTCTTGGGTGTGGCTCCAGTCCGCATATGGGAACATTTCTAGAAACCGGAACAGAGGAAGCCATTTTGTAACATGATACTGTTCAGTCAGTCTTGCAAATAAACAATTAGTGTAGTAAATGGGATGCACTAGGGTTGTATCATGTTGCTCAGTGTCACACAACTAAATCACAGCACCTCAGGATACATATAAAGAATGGAAATGCTAAATGAGAGAAAGCTGTGTGGAATAACCAGGCTGTCCTTTCTCTTCCTGTCTGCAGGTTTGGAGGGGTGCCCCCTCATGGCATGGCCACCGACTGTTGTGTTCCTCCGCTGCTCCAGAGGGTAAGTCCTCATCTCCTTCATTCAGTTTATTTCCGTCCATATGAGCTGTATTCGGGGTTTCCCCCTTTTAAGGAAAACCACACATCAAGCCTTTGCTCCCCATCTGAGACAAATGAGTTCTGCACCTAGAGGAATTCTACATTGATCAGACGGCAGAGGCTCATTTGGAGATAACAGCCAGTAGTCATTAATATAGAATCTGTCTCGGGGTAGCATCTGCTCGTCTGTGTGAGAGGCAGGAGAGATGGAGAGTGTGAACAGAGGGAGAAAGGTGGGGTGAGGCAGCAGCAATGCAGAACATGCTGATTTGATTTTAAAGTGGGCTTTAATAGCTGTAGGGTTGGAGTAGACATACAAATGATCCTCACACTTTTAGCAATGTGCCTGTGGTGACAGGGTAGTGGAGGACAGGAAGGGAACAGGTGCAGGAGCAGAACAACTCAGATACTTGGGGCAAGGTTTGAAATTGTCAAGGTAATGAAGAGGTGGGTGTGAAATAAAATGTCTGCACCCCTGCGTCTTTGAACACGGTCAAGACACTCTTGAAACTGAGCCTGGGTCGGTGCTGCCTGCACCAGGCAGTGATCCTTCACTTTTTGGTGTGAGCCGAAGCAGAGATCTGCTGATTCACTGCAGTGGTCCCGAGCAAGGAGGCAGGAGGTTGTTGGATGCAGCAACAGCAACAAGGCAGCTTGGATCACCTCCACTGTGGGCTCACAGCCCCCCTGCGTTGATTCATAGCTCTGTCAATAGAGGCCACTCAGCATGATAATGGTATAAGCTGTGCAGACTCATAACCAGAGTTTGGTTACGGACCAGTAGAGGTGGGTTACAGACCATTATTAGTATGTCAGAAAAATAAAGTGTCACTGAGCAGAACCAAAGGCTCAAAAGTACAGATGAGAGCACACACTTAACACTGAAACACGTTAAAGGACCGTGAACTTCAAAATAGTTCTGAGTGCATTCTGTTGGTCCCAGATGCACACGATCCATTTTTCTTATTTCTCGCTGCTAGCCAAAAGCCAAAACTTTCAAGGAATGGATACATTGCAATGTGAACCTCAGGGACTTTTTGATTGTCAGAGACAAGAGGTCTTTTTAGCCTTTCTGTGGGAATGAGAAATATCAATAGTTGGCATCAACGAATCAACCCAACAGTTGTGTGAGGGAAAGGTTAGCAATATTATACTGTATTGATCTTCACCTGACAGACAGTGGAAAATGAGCCTATTTCTGGCAAAACAGCAGTCAGTGTACTTCTGTGTCTACATGTATAAGCCTGTGCATATCTTCTTGCATGTGTGGGAGCGCACTGATGAATGAGATTTAGTCATGTGTTGATTACAAGTAAGCAGTAATTATATGGAGCTGCACAAATAACTATTGCATAAGCTGCTGTTTTAACGTACCTTGTTGTAGATACTGTACTGGTGTTTACAGCCATTAGATCCACGCGAACCATGAGATAAGATAATGTCACAGACTATCCTTTTAAACTGTCATGAAGATAAAGGTTTTTGTGAACCAAACGGAGTACATGTTCCAAGAATGTTTCCACAAGAGCTAAGAATAATTTGCTGGTCAGAGGTTAAGTATGTAGACTCTTTCTGTTGCTGGTTTTAGGTCGCACGATGTTCCTGGGCAGCTGCTGCTGTTCATTTAGTTTGGCAGCTCTGTTGTTGAACTCCTCCGACAGGTGGAGTTGCTGTTGCACTGCCCCCTGCTGGGTCTCAAGCCACACACCTCTGTCAAAGTAATGCTTCATTTTTGGTGAAAAGTTAGCATAGCACCATCAGAATACCAGACTCTGCTGTGTGTTAAAAGGATTAATGTTCCAAACAGACAGTCCATAAGCTAATAATCCAGAAAATGCCAAGACTAACTAGTTTTGGACAAAATACTGGTCCTTAGCCATCCTTCTTAGATTCATTCAGTGCACGAGCTCATTTCCATTGCTCAGCTAACACCTCAGGGTGTCATTTTTTTTTTTTTCTTGTGTGACATTTGTCTACCTGTCTACATTTTCTTGCCTGCAACCCCCTCGCAGAGGTGACAGTGGTGTATCAGAACGGGCTGCCGGTGATCTCAGTCAGTTTGCCGTCCAGGCGAGAGCGCTGTCAGTTCACCCTCAAGCCTCTCTCTGACTGTGTGGGAGTTTTCCTGCAGCAGCTCCAGGCAGAGGACAGAGGCATCGACCGGGTAGCTATCTACTCCATGGGTACGTGCACAAACACAAGAATACTGTACACACACACACACACACACACACACACCACTACTGTATCCATTTACCCCAGCAGGTTATACATATACATGTCCTTACATGCTTTCAAGTGTTCTTCTGTTTTGATGCTGTTAAGTGCTCCCGTAGCTGTAGCTTTGCATCAGAATTTAATACCACTGCATGCACAATGAAAAGATTTTTCAGGCCTCACTCTGCACAGAGGGGTTCATTATACAGGCACAACTGGTACTTGAAATCTTACTCATAGCGTGTAAGTGCATCAGCTTTTACAGCAACAAGCCTGATTATCAAGAGATGTCAATGGTGTTTGAAGCGGCTACTGATCAGCGCTCCATCTCTCTTCCCATTTGTCTCTCTCTCTCTCCAGATGGAGCGAGGGTCGCCTCCTCCACAGGCATAGACATCCTGCTGCTGGATGATTTCAACCTCGTCATTAACGACACCACACACCTCGTGCGGCCACCAAGGAGAGGTGAGGACTGGCAGAGAAAAGGCAGAGCCAGTGCTGTTTGCTTTGAGTCACTTCCTCACTACCAGTAAGAGGAGGAAATGGTTTTATTGGATCGTATTAAAACTGGTCTTTGTTTATTTGTTTGCGTTTGTCTGCATGTTTGTGCTTCAGAGCTGCTGCCCCATGAGGACGCGGAAAGGCTGAATGACGTCAAGTTTCTGGTGCAGCAGCTCTACACCACCCTGCGCATCGAGGAGCACCAACTCGGCAAAGAACGTGAGCTGATTGGACGACTGGAGGACCTCAACTCTCAACTCCGCCCCCTGGAGAAGGTCTGACTTCCTGAACACGTTTGGCTATCCTTAATGTTTTGTTGTTGGTTGCACGAGGTCCCTGCTGCTCTTAGCAAGACACACAAATCACCTCAGGGTTTCTAACTTGTCAACCAAGAATTTAATAGTCGAACCTGTGTGACCGTCTAATTACATTGTGTTCTTGTATACTTTACCATTGAAGCCAAGAGGAGCTGTACTGTCAATGCTCAGAATTTTGAAGGCCTGTTCATAATCATTTCATCTGCAGATAATTAGTTGAAGATATCGGACCTTACCTACAATGGCAATAAAAATGATTAAGGGTCTGATCAGTTGAGCCATCTTGGTTATGGGTAATGGGCTATCAACACAGTGAACAGTTAATCTTATAATAATTACATCTTAATCTGGAGACAAGGGTCTGACAAACTTATCACAGCTGCCCTTGGCCTGTATACTTCATTGTGCTGACAATATTCTTCCTTACTAGATTCTCCATACATATTCATATATTTGAACTTTCTTCTTGACTTCATTGTAGGTGAGGGATGAGTTGAGTAAGAAGGCAGAGCGGCGTACCACCTGGGTGCTGTGGGGCGGCATGGCGTACATGGCCACCCAGTTCGGCATCCTGGCCAGACTCACCTGGTGGGAGTACTCTTGGGATATCATGGAGCCCGTCACCTACTTTATCACTTACGGCACAGCCATGGCCATGTACGCCTATTTCGTGCTTACACGCCAGGTAAGACAAAACGAAACACAACAAATATACAAACACATACGCCAAAATTCATTATTAAAGTCATGTTGCTGCTGTGTGGGTTAGAGGTAATTCCGGAGAAAAATTGTTTATTGTTGAGTCTTTTAAGGTCGTCAAATGCCTCAGACACTTTGGCAACCTAAACTGTCGGTATTTGATGACCTTTTTCCAGAATAACTCATCCCGTCTTTAAGGCTAAAACAAGTATTAAAATGTAACCTTCTCACATGGATACGCAGCTCTTCCCTGTATTGAGTTATTGTTTTATTGTGTTGATTATCTTTTGGACTGTTGACGAGAGAAAGGAAATAATCTGATGGTTTTACATTGAACTCAAGGACTTTGTGATTTTCACTGTTTTCTGACATTTTGTAAACTGAATGATAAGATCATCAGATTAGTCACATTAATAACCTTCCATCTAGTGGGCACACTGGTCTCATTTTTTTGTGCCAAACAATGTGACACGTCACTGATTCTAATTTTTTACATTATGCAGACACTGTTGTAGCAGCCAGAGAACAGAGCATGGCAGTCATGAGATCTATGGGATATCCTCTGTTTGTAGCACTCTGCACTAAATTGTAATATTTTTAGCTATTTAAAAGGCAGATCTAGTGACACCCTGCAGAATTGAATCCAGTATTTATAAATCTGGTTTTTAACTCCAAGGGACATGGAGACCATTTGATGTTGGATTTCTCACTACTGTGACTTGGCCCAAGGACTAGAAAGCAGAACATGGAGGGTATCTGATAAACTGGCTCCTCTTACAAAGTGCTCCGTCTGTGTATCTCTATAACCTGCAGGAGTACGTTTACCCCGACGCTAGAGACAGACAGTATCTGCTGTTCTTCCACAAGGGGGTGAAAAGGACACGCTTTGACATTGAGAAGTACAACAAGCTGAAGGATGATATCGCTGAGGTACAGTCGCTTGGTGAAAGCTGGATGTTTTGTGATGTAAAATGAGCACTGCAGACACACTGGGGATTCCCACATTTTACAGTTCAATACTTGGATTTGTAACAGCTGTACGTAGACCTACTTTGATGCCATTCCCTATTCACTTTCTTCTCATATTTTTTACCCCGCCCCGCCTCTCTCTCCTTATCCAACCTCTCCAGGTGGAGTTGGATCTGAAGCGTCTTCGGGACCCGCTCCAGCTCCAGCTCCCAGTTCAGCAGCTCGACGGCAGTAAAAATTGATGGGAAAAGCAACTCCCTCCTCTCTGAGCTCCTACAACCCCCCGTTTCCTTCTTCCCTCCTGCCGTCCAACACCCTTCTCCCTCCCCCTTCTACCCCCAACTATTTCCTCAGCCTCCTCTCTCCCCTATCCCTCCCACACCAAATAATCCCATCCCTGTCTCGACTGTGGGAGTTAGTTTTTTCTCTTTTTCTTCTTTTTTCTCTTTTTTTTTCTTTCTTTTTCCTTTTCCGTCCGACGAAAACTCCAGTTGGAATTGCAAGTGAAAACCGCTAAAAAGACAAAGAAGGATGGTGAGAATACCGGGAACTAAAAAACTCTCACAGCCGAAAGGATGGTAAGGATGGTGAGGATGATGAAAGGGACGATGATGATGATGATGATGGGATAAAACTGGGGCACTATGGATATGCCTCAAGTCTCCGGAGGGACAGCCTGCAAGGAACTCCGGGGGGCAAACAGGAATTATCACACCTCTAGACACTCCAGAACAGAGGACATGCAGAGGGGCGGGTCATTGTTTAATTAGTGTGTGTGTGTGTGTGGGGGGGGGGGGACTTTCAGGGCACACTGGGACACCGACCCTGACACAGCAGTGTAGTCCTGCTTCCTCTAGCAGTCAAACTGTCAACACACACACCTACTCTTGGTTGGGGCAGGCTCCAGGGAGAGTCTCTATCCCACACATTAAAGTTTACAAGGAAGTCCTGACTGCAGTTGCACCATCACGGGGGACCTTCGTCTTCCTGTGGCTGAACTCTGCTGCCTCCCCCTCCCTGGGCCACGCCTTCTCCAGGTGACGGACAGCTGTCCCTCCCAGTGTGACCTTTGTCAGGAGCCTGTCTGAACTCGCAGGATATAGGCACGATGCCACGCCTCGTTTCCTCTTCCTGTTGATGTCCTGTAGCGGCCGGTCTGTCTGCGCAAGTATGAGAGTACTACCGACAACAACATCACTGTGTGTTCTTTTATTCCAAAAAAAATATTTTGGCACTTTTTATTTTGAAAGCCATAGTATATTTGTTATGAAAAGAATATAAATATATATATGTATACAATCAAATAAACCGATGACCGGAGGCTAGTTTTTTTTTCAGTGGGGGGAGGAACTCTCTTACAAACATAATTTCATCAGGAACTCATTTACATCCTCTGAAGATCTCCTGAAATGAAGGACCTAACGGTCCGACGCAAACGCACATACACAAAGAGCATTGGACGTAAGGCTCCTGTGCATGGCCACCAAAGGGGGGGGGGCAATGTTGAAGCCAAATCAGGGTTAAAATGGCTTTGATTGGGATCGATTCTTATTTTGAGCAACACAGAATATCGACATGAATAACGCCATGCTTGACCTCTGTAATCATCTCATGAATACGGAGATTGCTGCGGAAATGCTTAACATAATAAAAAATGGGTTCAACTGTTTAGTGATCATTGACTCAGACGGATCCACAGGCATGTTATAGTTCAAAATATCTGATGAATTTGAAAAGTGTTGTTGGACGTGTCTTCAGCTTTAGCTTAGCAACATGTGATGTACATTTTCAATCTGAATTTTAAATAATCGTTCAGGCAAAACAGCAAAAAACTACATACATAAAAAAAGCGTCATGGCATTGATTCACAGAAGCTTTTTTCATCTTGAAATAAAGCCAGAGTTTTCTCCTCCCACTGTTGCTGTAATGCCCCCCTGCTCCCGCGATGGCAAGGCAGGGTAGACTGCATGCTGTGGTATGCCCTCAGTAGAAATTTGTGAATGTGTAGGAGCATTATTGCAATTTTGTACTTAATTGGACACTTTTCTTTGCCACATCTAGCTGAAGTCTCATCTCCTCCCCAACCCTCCAAAGGTTATAGAAGCCATATGTTTATGTTGTCCATTTTTTGGGATAGTCACTGAATAAATCTTTGTCAGCTTCACTTGGTTTTCTGTTCAGGGTGTGGGTTGGTAGCCCCATTTATCTCCCAAAAGAAAAAGGTCTCAAAGCCAGTTATTTTCACTCTGAACTGCTGTAGATCACCTCTGCAGAGGGGAAGCACAATGACATGATGTCCCTGCACATATAGACTCTAATTCAAGATCATCTGCTTGTGTGTCTCGTGTGGACAGTTGGCCGGATCCTACTGAAGAGATCCTTGTGCTTGACTGCAGATTTTATATTAAAATGCATGATTTTAGGTTAAATCAAAAGTAAGCCATGCAGATCTCAAGGCAGAATCCGGTCTAATCTGTTACTGTGTGTGCCGGTGTGTGTGTGTGTGTGTGTGTGTGTGTGTTTCATCTCCAAGGGAAATGGTGCCTTTTAGATGATTGATGATGTTAACAGTATAGACAATATTGCAGTTTGCTAAACAGCAATGATAAGATCATTGTGAAATTGATTCTCATATTTCAAATGACACCTTTATATAAATGAGGGTTCAATTTGAATGTTTGGAAGTGGATATCAATGTGGCTGTGAGTCTGTGAATGTGTTTGTTGAATACACGTGTTGATGAGTGTGAGTGCGCTGGGGGCAAAGTTCAGATCACTATATTCATGAATCCTTTGCTCCTAATCACCACCTTGTCAATAGTGGTAAAAAAAAAAAAAAGAAATCAATACCGCCCACGTTGCACTTCATAGCAGTCATTAGCTTTAAAACTCATTTTTCCTGAATAGGCCAACTTACACACTCCATGACACACAGACACACACACACACACACAAAGTGACGATGGTGTTTCCTTGGAGATGTACTGTGGGAGGTGAGAGAGTTGAAGCCTGTCTGCAGTCCAGTCCTCCCCTCTGCTGTTTCTATATTTCTCTCCATCATCACCTCCTTTTTATCATGCCATCCACCGTTTATTGCCTTTTTATTTTCTTGTTTATTTTTTTAAAACAAAATATATCAAATATAGGGAAACTTTATTATAAAGAGGGTGTTGCATGAATGTATGTTTACATGAGAAATTATGTGAAAATAAAAAAAGATGATTTATCCAAAAAAAAACATTAAAAAAACCTGCAAAGATAATTTAAGAACGTTGTTTGTAGAGATTCCTAGTTATAAAGGGGCAGTGGACAGGGCTGCGTCTTTAGAACCCGCCCTGCCAAATCTGACTTAAATCCCAGCCAACCAAGAGCTCAAACCCCATCACTCCCATTTTCACCTTATTTACTCCCATAAGCCCCCTCCCTCAGCGTGCATTTATACTCCCCAGTAAATGGAAAAACACCCTCCATCCTCGGTGCACCTATAAAGCAGTTTCTAACGTCCTGGCGCACTCTGTTAGCATATCGGGGAACACCTCCCATTCTCATCCCTCTCTCCTGACATTTTCATCCACCCTCAGCCTCTTTTCTCCTAAAATAACATTGTTTTTCTATGTTTTTGAATGTTATGTTTTGAATACCTTGTTTGTGTGCATTTACAATAAGACATGTTTTAAATGCCTAAAGAGCGAAGCAGACTATAGGATTGAAATCTTGTACTCCGTTCTGACCTCTTATTTTGTTCAGTTTTTCTTGTCTTTTTTTCTTCTGTTGACATATGATGCTGTAATGTTGGCAAAAAAGAAAATGTAAAATCCTGTATCATTTATGAAATGTGTATAAAAGAGATATGTAATTCAATTATCAATAAAATCCTTATCCAGTTTTTGGAGCCAGTGGTCCAGTTGAGGTTTTTTGTTGTTCTGTCTGGAAGTGAAGACTTGGTGATTAATGGACATATTACAGAAATTTACAAGAAGCAGCTTTTCAAGGTCTTGACCGGCTCCTCTCCTTGGCCTCCAGCTCTTCCTGTGCAGGACATCCTATGAGATAGACCTGTGTGGATAAACTGTTAGTAAACAATAGGTACATGAAGCAACACATGATTACAATGGCCCGTTGAAATTGATTTTAAAGTTTAGAAAAAAAGATTAAAAATTTAAATTTTACTTTAAGGAAAAGTAAATATTTTTTTTAACTTGCATCAGTGGAACAGGGACCATATATATTTCTCTTTGCTTGCTGCTCTGTGAGGCTCTGTGTACTTGGGCACAGCAGTGCGTTGAGCTAAATGCTAACCTCAGCATGCTAATGTGCTCATGATAATAATGCAACACGCTGATGTTTAGCATCTTGACTACTATATTTAGTTTTGCTTATTTGCATTAATGACATTAGTCTTGCAGATATTTGGTCATAAACCAAAGTACTGGACCTCGATGTCAATGTCAAACAAGTATTGTATAGTTATTATATATATTACAATTCATCCTGAGGGTAATATAAAACTGTACCAAAATTTCATGGCACTCCATTCAACGGTTGTTGAAGCATTTCATTAAAATACAAAAAGGTCAACCTCATGGTGGCATTAGAGGAAAAGTATGGGGATCACCGAAGTGATTAGGCTTCACACTCTGGGATGATTAAAGGTCCAGTGTCTAACATTTAGGAGGATCTATTGTCAGAAATGGAATATAATATTCATAGAATTTCTTTTATACGTGTATAAACACCTGAAAATAAGAAGTTATGTTTTTGTTACCTTAGAATGAGTTGTATTTACCCCGTGGGTCACCTTCCATGGAGGCTGCTATGTTTTTACAGTAGCCCAGAATGGACAAATTAATCACTGTCTCTACATAGGGCCATTCATGTTGTTCACACGTTTCGAAACCACTGTAGCTTCTGCCTCACATTCTGAGGGGGAGGGTGAAATGAATGAATTGCAGTCTGCAACTACACTGCTAGATGCCACTAAATTCTACACACTGACCCTTTAATGTCTTTACAATATTTGTGCAACAACTATCTAATTGTTTTTTAAGTCTGGACCAAAGCGGTTGACATTGCTATCCAAATGGCTTAAACAAAACGACCAGCATTCTTTAACTTGATGCTGCAACACATTTCACAGCAGTGACTCACTAAAGCCGAACACAATGATCAAACAACCGAAAGATATAATCATAAAGTTTACTCGAAAATCCAAACTTTGAAAACTAAATTAAGCAACATTTCGACGAAAATTGGAACAAAAGAGAAAAATGTACTAGGTACACTGGATGGCTTTCCTAAACACAGTGTGGTTATGCAGTAATGTAATAAAGTGCTGATTGAATCTGCTTGTGCCATAGAGAGTTCTAGCCAGAACAGTATCTTATTTTCAGGGGTAATCACAAAAGAAGAATAGCATGTTTCACCTCATTTCTTCTAACAGCCTGGTGGATTAATGTATCCATTGATTTAATTACATATGAGAAACAAAAACTGCAAGCGTCAGGTTAGATTGGGTGGTTTTTAAATGAAAAGAGCCCAGCTTTAGACCTTTTTTGGCCTGTGCTAGTGGTCAAGTAATGGCCTAGATGAGAACATATTCACTGTACTGGCACAGTTTGTCTTCGGTGAGGGTCTACAGTAAATCCTGAGTGTGCAAACCTCGCTGTCACCTCGAAGTGAAAGCTGCTTCAGCACTAAGCAGATTAATCAGATCGGTTTAATGCTGCTGCAGATCATTGCTCGTTTTTCCCCCCCCACGTCCTTTAAATCAGGAAGGATGAGAAATAAATAATTTAAGTCATGTAAAAGTTTCACACGGCACAATCACACTTTTTTCACGGCATGATGGCAAAAAACGGATACTAAGCTCGGGGTAGTTTAAGGGAGGAGTGTGAAGATTGTAGAGTCTGAAACAATGGGAGGATGGTCCTGTCACTGGACTTGGAGAGCATTAGGTCAAGGGGTCAAGGTGCGACAGAGACATGACAATATGACACATTCAGATAAGAGTTGCCTATTAAAGTCAGGCTTCCCCTAAGGATGAACCAGAAGAGCTACACACACATACACACTGATTCCCGAACTTGGACTATCATTTATCCAACACTGAGATCATGTTTATTTTGGTGGTTACCAATCTGCTGCAGGAGGTTCTTGCGGTTGCCGGTGTCGGTGAGTGTAATACTTCTTTCCCCCCAAAATAAACAGATAAGATTCTATTTGATTTACTGTACAGCAATGAGTTTGTGTCTGATCTGTTTATGGTGTTGATCTTCAAATACTTATGGACTTACCTAACTTATTGGCTGAACTCCGCCCCAAGCCAGTTTCTACTGAAGGTGTAAATCTTTTAAAATGGTCACACATATACTTTCATTTTTTTCTAAAAAGGGCTTAGTAATTTCCTGCAACAGCTGGGCACTACAGCTTTTAGCAAATGGTCCTCAAACCTGGGTAAATAGTGCATTTCTTGGGGACTATTTTTATTAGCGGATTAACACACATTTGGTGCTTTGGTGAGTATTTACAGCAGCAGGTTGGTGTATGAGGGATTGACTCAAAATAAACTGCTCATTCTAATGAAGGAACATGTCACCCAGAGCAACTGTGTTTCTCATGTATGTGTTTTTAATAGTATTTGCGGGGGTTTTCCAGATATAAAGAAAAATCTAAAATATCACCAGCTTTATCCTTTAACTAAAACCATTTTTTATGAAGAACAATAAGGTTTGACACTGTTTACTGTGGGTCTTCATCTTCTGTACAGATGAGAGGCTGGAGTCTGACTCAGGCCAGGCGTGGTTCCACATTCCCTTAATAGCCATATTAAGTTATTCAAGCCCCATCTGGAAGATTTAACACTGTCATTACCATACATCCGCATGAGTCAGCTATGTCCTCTGCCCCTTCTGTGCTGCTGAAGTTGGAACACAGTTGGCCAGTCGTATGTCTCCAAAACTGGTCGTTTATGCTGTCAGTGGCCCCAGGCCATGGATTGATCCCTCTGCTTTTATTGGAGCAGCAGGTAGTGACAAGATGGACTGTCCATTAGTGGATGGAGGGAGAAAATGACGTGTGTTGTGACGTCATTTATGGTCATGATATGAGTCCCATCTAACACAAGTATTTTTTATTTTTTTAAAAGAACAGTTGTCGTTAACTGCAAACCTCCAGTTAACCTTCACACTGAAAGCACTTTTTGTTCAAGATACGGGAACGGATAAACATAAACGTGGATATTTTATGTAGAGCAATCCAACTAAATGGAAAGCCTAGAGTTTGGTTACAGTGGTGGTTACTGCACCAGTAAAGTGTTATGGTGCTAGTTGTCAGCTGTCAAGTTTCCTGGCTCTGGCCTGACATTGAAGATGCTTTACTGCTTAGCTGATCAGCCTCCCACCGTTTCTTCATTCCCGCTGATTCTCAGTGATTAACATTTACTCTCACTCTTGCCCACTCTCATCATCACTCATGTCTTCTTCTTTTCCTTTTGTTTTACGTCTACCTCTTAATTACACTGTTGAGAGGGCACGAAAAAAGGGGAGAGACTATTGATTGTTTTGTTGCGCTTTGTTTACTCTGCTCGTTCAGTTGTGTCTCCTGATTCTGCAAAGCTGGCTTTGGTGAGAAGAGTCACTGCTGACAGAACCTGCAGGATTAAGGGGTCTCTGTGGATGGCTTGTTGCCTTTAAGTTTAATTAGAATTGACGCTGTGCTACAGTTTAACTTGATTGTCCAAAGGTTTGCTTCATGGTAACACATTTTCTCAAGTGGTCAGTATTATAAATGTACAGTACATGGGACAGGGTAAAATATATAGTGCTTATCTATGAACTGAGCAGAAATTGGCACCAAGGATTAAATAATGGTATTAACAGTGATTGAAGAAATGTAATATTGTAAGCACCAGAAATAAAATTAATTTCACCTCCATTATATTGATGCATAGGCAGAAATCTCAAAACCTGGAACTATACTAGCTAAGTATATATATATATATATATCTAAGACTAAGTTAGATAATATGGTTTCTTTTCATAACTGGGCAAACTGACCCTTTAACAGTGATGGAGGTATAAGAAAGTATATATTTGAACATAGCAGTACCACAGTATAAAATACTCCTGTCGAAGACGAAGAGTATTGCATTAAAAAAAAAGCTTATAATATCAAAAGTAAAAGTATCTGCAGTGTATAAAGTATACATATGTACATTAGTTACTATTGATGCATCAGTAGCTATCATTTGTAAGCAGCTAATTTTAACAACTCCATAAACTGGTGGGTAATTTAACCTATATCACGGCATTATATTTTGTAAACCAATTATATGTTTTGTATGTACAGTCATATAACTAGTGACTAGAGCTTTGAAATAAGGGTATCAAAGTAAAAAAGTACAATATTTATCTCTCTAATGTAGTGGATTAGAAATATAAACATAAAATGAAAATCGTCAAGTAAAATACGTACAGTACTTGCATAGACTCACTAACACAAGTGCATCATCTTCTTTCCGGGCATGTGAAACTAAGTCTTCATCTTTGTCATCCCACCCACATGCGACAGTCCTAGACCCCTGCTCTGCCTACAGCAGCCTGAACGAACCCTGGAGGAACACAGACTACCACATCAATCAGTCATCCGACATTCCCCAGTGTGACAGCCTTGTGTCTGGAGAATGGTACCGCTTCACTGGCATGGCCGGGGACGCCATGCCCACCTTCTGCATCTCTGAGAATCACTGTGGCACCCATGCTCCCATCTGGCTAAACGGCAGCCACCCTCAGCCTCATGAAGGCATCGTCACCCAGCCTGTCTGTGCCAGCTTTGGTGACAACTGCTGCCAGTGGAATGCCAGTGTAGATGTGAAGGCCTGTAATGGAGGATACTTTGTCTA